CTGAGTTGTGAGTGGTTTTAGTTTTCTGCGATCAGTGACTGACTCGTAACTAAAGGGCAGGGGCTGTTGTCTAAAAAAGGGTTTGTGGCACTGCCTTAAGGCATTCTGCCATGCAGTTGTGACCATCAACTGGGGTTACGGTGGCATCAAGGGAAGGGTGGGGGAATAAAGGACGGGATGGCAGTCTTACCGGCCCTCCTCAAATGTGGCAATTTCACCAATCTTGGAGAGGACGACGCGTTTGGAGAGGGCAAGACTCTCCAAGCTCATCAGGTGAGAGGCCCGACGAAGAGTTCGCTGATTGGCCACATCATCTGGCGTTGTGGTCGTCAGTTGGGACTCACTTTCAGCGCGTTTCTTGTACTCCTGGTAGTGCATGCAACTCGGCGCAGTGCCGGTGGTGTGCTGATGCCAGAAGACTCGAAATTCAAACTGCAGTTTCGCTTTGCTGAGGGTGTTCTTGTGAATGAGTTGAATTAGGTATGGGATTGCTGGGAAAAAGAGAAAAAAGGGATTAAGAAAAAGTGCACTGCAGTGCTCAGGTTACAACCCAGATTCTATGTTTGCCGTGCATGTCACTGAGCGAAGACGGCTAGTAATGAAAAAAGGTGGCATGACCTAACTCACTATTTTGCCTAAAGAAATTAATCTGGCATCACAAGTCAATGTCCACAAAATGCCGAAAAATTGTAAAAACAGATGGCAATTAAATTCGTATTTGAGAAAAAGAAGCTTCCACACTCGACGATTCCAGATATGTTTGACCAAGTAGTAAATAAGTAACTTAGTTGCATGCCTGTGGACATAAGTACACGTTTTATGCCAAGAGATCAATCGTAGCGCATGCGCAGGTTACGGTTAATATTGATTCGTACCAGCAATTAAAATCAATGCCGCTAATTGCAACCCTTAAGCCCCCGCCTTTCTAACACCAAACGTTAATTCCGACCCTAACCCCTAGGCTCAAGTCCTAGGCCAAAACGCCAAGCCTTAACCCTAACCGTACAACTTTATGCTATAGTCTAGGTCTTAACCCCTAAACCATAAGAACTAACCCCATTCCCTAACCCCTGAACTAAGTGCTGGCGATTATAGTAGCCCTAAAACCCAATCTCGTCCGTAAACTCCAACCCAAAATTCGCCAACTATACAAATCAAGCATAGCATACATACCTTAAGCAAATAAGTAGCTGCCTTACAGTAATAACAAAAAATGAGGTAGAAATTAAATTCGACAAAAAATACCTTCATCTGGGAAGCTTT